ACAAATGGGTAAGGTAAAGGTAAATGGTTCCCCTTGCACAAAGGTGCTAGTCGTTCCCGACTCTAGGGGGCGTGGTGCTCATCTCCGTTTCAAAGCCAAAGAGCCAGCAGTTTCCGAAGATGTCTCCCTGGTCATGTGGCCAGCATGACTAAACGCCAAAGGTGTGCGGAACGCTGTTACTTTCCCACCAAAGATGGTCCCTATTTTTTTTACTTGCATTTTTGCATGCTTTTGAACTGCTAGGTTGGCAGAAGCTGGGATAGATAACGGGAGCCCATTCTGTTACACGGGGCTAGGGATTCAAGCCGCTGAATTGCCAATCTTTCTGATCAACAAGTTCAGCTTTTTAGTCACTGAACCACCCTCTTATAAATGGGTATTTTGTGCCTATCCACACCCACTGCAGTAAAGCCATTTTGTGAATAGAAACCTTCCCCTGTTCTCTGAGAGATACAAAACCCCACGTGTGTCTTTCTTGCCCCACTTGCTCTAAGTGTTCATTCTTACACTTAATTTCCTACAGCTGTCTGGAAGAAGATGCAGCTCACTTGACTTTTTTTTTCAGATGATGCAATTGAAATAGTCATAGAAAATGCTGTTTGGTTAAATTATTGTTTGTGCACACTTTTGAATAACTGCAGCGGTTCCTATGATTGTAACAGTTTCCCATCACTTAGGTTTCTTATATGGGTCATGTTGAATGCTTTGCATACGAGATGCGTGACGTGGAGCAACGGGCTGTTCAGAATCAGGGTCTTAGAGGTTTAATTCTCAAAAGAAATGCAATTGTTCTCTCCACTGCAGATATCCCGGATTTGAAACGGAGGCTGCAGGCTCTCAATCTGCTCATACTGATTTTACCAGAACCTAACCGAAACACCCTGAAGGTAAGCAGGCAAATGCTACCCAGAGAGCAATGACTTGAATCATTTCCAGTGGCAATAAATCACTGAATAAAAGCTATAGCTTGGTAATGCAGCACATTGTGTTTTTTTGGCATAAATTTCCCAATTTTCTCCAGCTGTGTAGAATTTTAAGTTTGCAATGTTAGGCTTGTGCAAAACACTGGGAAATTACTTAAATAGGCTGATCAGGAATTACCTGGACTTTAGACATGTCTGGCTTTTTTCAGCCTTGGCAACATGCATATGTGTGGACTTCAATTCCCAAAATTCCCCAGCCAGCCAGTTTATTGTTGAGATTCCTATAATAACATTGAATGGAAGGGGTCCTTTTTAAAAGAAATAGGCAATGAATAGTACTTCAGATATCGTGGAAATGCCTCTCTCATCATCCACACCCTTGCATACTGGCTGGCATGATGAGACTTGATGGGTTCAGCAATTGCAAGAGCCCATTGTTCATAACTGCTTTAAAAATTCCACAAATTTGCATACAGGTGGTTGTTGCTAGTTTGTACAATTGATTGATTGATTGATTTGATTGATTTTATTATACTTATATGCTGCCCTTTTCCCCCGAAGGGGACTCAGGGTGGCTCACAATTCAAATCAGGGAAGGNGTCCTAGGCCCCTGGGTGGGGCCCGACTAGTAACCAATGCCAAATCCGGCGAAACAACTGGCCACTGTGATACAATTGTATAATAATAATAATAACGAATCCAAGGTGCCTTACATGCAATCCCAAAACAACTAAAGCACCACTTGAGTACCATTGGCATTGACAAACCCACCTTCATTCAAAAGCAAAAGGCATCTGGCATGCACGCTGGTCGCAAACTGGTAGTAAATCCAGCAGTAACCCACCCCTGCTACATACTGTATTTTTTGAAGTATAAGACGCACCGGAGCATAAGATGCAGCAAGGTTTTGAAGAGGCAAATTTTTTTAAAAAGTTTTTGCACTCTGCAAACCTCCCAAAAATGGACCATTTTTCGCGAAAATGCACAGAACAATTTACAGTGAACTATGCACAGGCAGTCAATAAAAACCAAAATGGTGGCAGCCCAGCGGCGGCCAGGGAACTGGTTGAAGGGCGTGGCCTGTCTGGGTCGCTGCCGGTTCTGCAACCCAGGCCTGAATTCCACTACTGGTTGGGCCGAACTAGGCCAAACTGGGAGCAACCCACTTCTGGCAGGGAGACATTTTAGAGAAATAGTTTCCATAAAACTAGAACAAGATAGTTAAACTGATATTCTTGAATCATTTACCAGAATAAAGAGTTTGTTCTGGATATTGTTTAATCATAACTGACCATATTGTAATTGTATCTGAGAGATGTTAGTAATAATGTTTGGGCTTGCAAAACTCTGGACAATCAAATGAAAGGCAGCAAACAGAGACAGAAAATTATACTCCCTGCCCTTCCGTGGTTATGCTTTTTTCCCCCCCAGCCTAGATCTGGCAGCTATTGAGAGAAGCAGAACAACATTGCAATGTTCTTCAAGAATTTGATTTAAATATATGGCAATCAGAAGCAATGTCCTGTGTAACTTGAAAGACGGTATAACTGAACACCAACACACCAAGACTTCTGATTAATAGGTAAAGGTAAAGATTCCCCTCGCACATATGTGCTAGTCATTCCCGACTCTAAGGGGTGGTGCTCATCTCCGTTTAAAAGCCGAAGAGCCAGCGCTGTCTGAAGAAGTCTTTGTGGTCATGTGGCCAGCATGACTCAACGCCAAAGGTGTACGGAACGCTGTTACCTTCCCACCAAAGGTGGCTCCTGTTTTTCTACTTACATTTTTACCTGCTTTCGAACTGCTAGGTTGGCAGAAGCTGGGACAAGTAACAGAGGCTCATTCCGTTATGCAGTGCAAAGGATTCGAACCATCAAACTGCCGCCCTTTCTGATCGACAAGCTCAGCGTCTTAGCCACTGAGCCATGGTGTCTCATAATATGTATAGATGTCCTCTATATTTATAAAAAACTACCAGATGATTAGATGTTGATGCTCCTCAGAGTCCATAACAATATTTTTCTGTCTGGTCAATGAAAACTTGCTGCTACCATATATTGGCTAACATAATTTTTCTAGGTAAGATCCTGCTATGCCATAAAAGATGGTCCTTTTAAGCCAGTAATATAATACTTACATAAAANTGAAAACTAGTTATGATCTTTGGATTATTAGGCTGCTGTTTATTATTGTTTTACCCAAGGTAAGACATACTGTATGCACAACATTACCAAGTCTTGACAGATTTTTTTTTTAATTTCTTCTGTGCCCAGCTACTCATGCAGCATTTCTATATGAATACAGATGGTTGCCAATTACGGCTGTCATCCTATGTGCTGGTAAACAGACAGGGCAAACTGCACCAGCCTCTTTAGTCACAAAGTTCTCTGTGTCACATTAGGTGAGGAGGAAGGCAGCAGAGGTAGCTGAGGAGGACGAAGAAATATCAGAGAAGAAATACCGGAAATGTGAAAAGGCCGGGTGTACTGCAACTTGCCCAGTCTGCTTTGCTAGTGCCGCTGAAAGGTTTGGGTTTATTTATTTATTATTCGTTTTTATTTGTACAGTTCATTTCCTCCCTGTAAAGGTTTCAAATCTGCCATATACGTGTGTTCTACAGCTCCTGTTGGTGACTTTTGTTTCAAGTACGAATAAGTAGAAGTGCTTCATTGATGGCTAAATGCAAAAAGCGATCTGGAATTGTAGAGCAATGCATATCACTTTTGGTAAACGGAGTTCTGAAATATTTTCTGTTTTAGGTGTGCTAAAAATGGCTATACCTCAAGGTGGTATCATCTGTCCTGCGGGGAACATTTCTGTAACGAATGCTTTGATCATTACTACAGAAGGTAAATCTTATTTGTAAGAGTCTACGCTCTGAAATGATTCAGAGGTGCATATCCTGCAGTCATTAACAGTTTAAAACAAAAAAAATTGATAAGATTTGCAAGACTTCACTCCTTGGAAGTGGACCACCCTAGGTTTAGTGGGATCTATTCCCAGGTGAGGAAATGTTGGGATTGTCTATTATCCATAGTTCTGTGCTTTGCCCATTTGAATTTGATTTTTAATAAAGAGATTGTATCAATCTCCATCCTAAGCGCTGAGGTGGCATAGTGGTTAAAGTGCAGTTTTTCCTTCCTGCCTTCCTTACAGGATTAGCCCTGTAAAGTGGGGAAAAAAATAATATAAGATTTCTTCCAACAACCGGTTCTCCGAACTGCTTAGAAAGTTACGAACCGGTTCTCCCGAATAGGTGCGAACCGGCTGAATCCTATCACTGTGACCAGCCAACATAAGGCTGTAACTTAAGATGATGAAATGAGGATGAGTCAGAGGAAGTATTGCCACTTTAAGAAGCTGTCTTTATAAGAGAGGCCAGGTGAGGGTATATCTCTCTCCTTGTGTATCTCTCTCTCCATTGTAGTTCTCCATGTAGAGTTGAAGATTGCTTGCTTGCTTGCT